TCCTAACCCACAGCCTCTGGGCTATCATTCTAACCATATCTATTATGACTGAACGGCTTCTTGGGAACAGGGCGACCTTCTTCGGATTGGGAGCTGGGCAGGCATACTAACAAGCTTCAGGAAGAGGAGCTAGGCAGCAAGGCTCCTGAGCTCTGAGCCCTGCTGGTCTCACCTGCCCAGAAAAAGGAACTAAGGGCTCTTTGGAAAGGGAGTGGGGACAGGGAAAGCTTATCCATCTTGAGCTGATGGCTTCTCCAGGGCAACAGGAAGGTGCTGAGCTAACAGCAAGCAAAAGCAGCCCCCACCCTGCGGGCAGTTTAGATGCTGGCTCTTTCTCATATCAAAGAGAACTCGGGACCATACAAGATTTTATTTTCTTCTGCCCAGTGCATCAGGTAAACATTTTTTTTCTCTTGCCCTTCGAAATAGATGGTCTGGGGCAGCAGAATCTGGGGTTTGTTTGTTTGTTTGTTTGTTTTAAGCAAGAGCTAGAGAGATAGTTCAGTGATTAAGAACATGAGCTGGTTTTTTTTTTTTTTTTTTTTTTTTTAGAGGTCCCTAGGTTCATTTCCCAATGCTCACAGGTGATGGTTTACAATCTTCTATAACTATGGCCCCATGGGATACCATGCCCTTTTCTGATATGTAGCTATGCATGCACACACAGCACCCCTATACATTAGATAGATAGATAGATAGATAGATAGATAGATAGATAGATAGATAGATCTTTAAAGGCAGATATGGTGGCACACACCTTTCATCTCAGCTCTCAGAAGACAGAGGCAGGTAGATCTCTGAGTTCCAGGCCAGCCTGGTCTACAGAGTATTCCAGGACAGCCAGAACTATATAAAGAAACCCTGTCTCAAACAACAACCACAGGAAACCCAAAAAGCAACAAGCCATTGTATTTAATTGCAAGCTACACAAACAAATGAGCAGCAATGCCTGTATTGACAAATGCTCGTCTTTTGTCTTTACCACACTTGGAAAAAAAAATGCATGATCAACAGAGACCTGTATGTTTTGGGGGCAACAGATCTGCCTTCTTAGCTCTTGGCTTAAAATTGGTCTGCCTTGCCTGAACGGACATGGCTTTGCACAGCTGTTAAGAGGTCTGGCAGGAGATAGTGGGGAGGAAAGGCTAGGAGCGGTCAGTCCTGCTGGAGGATGTCCTTATGGATTGGCCTGGAAGATCTGAGAGCCACCCAAAGTTCCCATTCCCACAGTCTTTTTCATAGTATTCTCCAACAACAAAGAAGAACATGGTCTGTTTTCAGGGGCCATATTGTGGTTTGTAGGAAAAAAGGTATCTCCCCAGATTCACACATTTTAATGGACTTGTTGATCAACAGTGAAATAAAAAATGGAAACTTGGTGTATGAGCTTTGAGTGGCTAAGAGCAAGATTCCCTTGGCATCTCCGTACTGAGGGTCCCCTTGTGATGACTAGAGTAATGGCAACTGGGCACCAGGAGGGATCTCATCCACTTTATAACCATCACTTAGCTGGAGCACTCATTTTTAAAACTCTATGTGGGCTGTTTAGTCCTCAACCCCCCTTCTAACCTCCCAACCCTACATAGGAGAGAGAAAGTTAGTGGGGAGAGGGCCCCTTTACTTCTCCTGGCTGTTTAGGATGAATGGGCTCTTCTAGGGCTCTATACCAATCCCCGTCAACAGCAGACGCAGCCAGCAGTTTTCTCCAAGCCGCTATGCCCCAAAAACTCAAATGGCCACACCATTCATCTCTCTGGTCTCTCCAAACTGCTGCACGCCACAGGCCAACACCACATACCACACCTTCTCTTTCTGGCCTCTTAATTTATATCCTCAGAATTCTAGACCACACCCCTTTCCTTGCCACTGGTGAAAGGCAACGTTACCAGCTGGCAAAGATCACGCCCCTCGAGAGACAATTAACAGCTGTGGACAAACTATAGCCCAACTGAAATCCCACACTTGGGATTAAAACAAAAACATATTTACATAGCATAACTGAGCTTACAAAGAAACCAAAATTTCCATTGCACTTAACCACTCTATAACTATGTTCCCAATGGGATCCCATGCCCTTTTCTGGCGTGCAGATATGCAAGCACACACAACATCCATATACATTAAATAGACGATAGATAGATAGATAGATAGATAGATAGATAGATAGATAGATAGACGGATAGATAGATAGATAGATAGATAGATAAATGGATAGATAGATAGATAGATAGATAGATAGATAGATAGATAGATAGATAGATAGGTAGGTGGATAGATGGATAGATGGATGGATAGATAGATAGACAGATAGTAATTGGATGGATAGATAGATGGATGGATGGATGATGGATAGATAGTAAATAGATAGATAGATGCATGGATGTATGGCTAAGCCTTGGAGCTCTCGTCTAAATTAGCTGCCGACACAGGGTTTTGGCAGCTTTGTGAAGCCTCCTATCCTTAGTGCTAGCAAAAGAGAGATGCTAGGATATAAGCCAGCCTTTGTCATCCCTACTCCAAAAGTTCTTGTGGGAAACCAGGCTGTGGAAAGGTGTTTGGCAAAGAAGAGCTGTGTCCTCCCTCCAGCCTTTCGTTCCTGCCTCCTACTTTCTCATCCATGCCTCTGGCTGACGTTAGACTCAGCAGGCAGAGAAAGTAGAGAAGGTGCCTTTGTATCTGCAAAACATCATAGAAAGCCCTCGATGATGAAGCACAAAGTAGTGATGAGTGATATGAGGTGGGGAGGGGGGTTGAAAAGCCGCTTGCAGCGGTCTCTTTCCATCTGGGATATGAATTTCAATATGTTACCAATTGTTAACCTGACTGGCGGTGCTATATTATCCTGGTACATGGGGAATTAGTGTGTGTGTGTGTGTGTACACAGGCAGATTTGAAGTGCTGTAATGGAAGATCTCCACACAGAAATCATTTGAAAGAGCCTTTCAGTCTCTTGGTTGGAAAGAGGGAATTCATAGTCCTCATCTCTAAGATGCTCTGGTACACAGTCACATCTCCTCATTCTTGCACAGACCATTCCTGTGGCTCTTCAAGAGGTCTAGAGACTGTGCAGGACACCAGAGAGCTCATGCTCCGTGGAAACAGACCTTTCATGATGTGATGGTTAACCTTGGTTTTCAACTTGATTAGATCTAGAATCAGCGAACAAGTCAGCTGTTGAAAACAGCTATGAGGGATTTTCCTGATCTCTTTAATTGAAGTGGGAGGTTCCTAATGTGGGCCAAATCTTCTAGGGCAGCCTAGATAAAAAGGAAGTCTAGGGAGGAAAAGCTTTTGTTTCCTGCCTGCCACCTTTGCGGTGAGCTGGCAAGTTCATCTACTCTGCGGCATCAGGGTGCAGCTGCCGCTGCAGTTGCCATTCCTCACTGACATTCGAACCCAGCTCCTTTGGCTTCCCAATGTGGACTAAAGACCGCTGGCTCTCCAGAAATGTGCCAGGCCTTCAGGGCCAGACTGGGGCTGCTGAGGCATCCAGCCTCGAGGGACTGAGCAACTACCGGGTTTTCACCTTCTCCCATGTAGAGGCAGCCACTGTTGAATTACGTAAAACATATCCTGTGAGCCAATCTAATAACCATCGGCGTTTTCAGTACATATTCATCCATCAGCTCTGTTGCTCCTGAGATCCCTGAAGAATACATACGCCGGTGCCTGGAACTCGCTAAGATTTAGCTGGGCTGGGACTGGAGAGTAAGGGGGTGGGATTTTTCACATAAACTGGCAGGTGTTTCCAACCTGCAGCTTGTGTGCTATCCGCATCCCTGTGACACAAAAATCATAAGCTTATTCAAGATATTAATGAGAAGTTTTTGAGATTACTTTTGTAACTCAGCTGCGAGTATCTGGAGTTTAAGCTTGGAGGAGGACAAAGCTGTGTGGCGATGTCAAAAAGTTGGGCACACCAGCGACCAGCACCACAGCCCTGCCCAGTAGATAACATTTATGTGTGATGGTCTAGTAGTCTAAAATTCTGTGGTAGCGCAGGTACATCTGGGTACTGCTGAACGATGGAAACGGGACTAGGGCAACTAAGGGATAGCCTTTTTATTTCTCCCTGATTTTATTTATTTTAATTGATTTAAAAATTAAAGTGGCCGCACATAAAACTGGCCAGCACAGCCAAGAGGATGAGTTGCGGTGAGTTTATCGATGGCACTGCGGAGGCCAATGCCCTCTACAGTTCAGCAGATGAGAGGCGAGGGCCAGCAAGGTCCTGTAAATGGCGTTCAGAGTGGTCAGCTAAGACAAAAGCCCTGGGCCTGCAGCTGTGGAGGCTAGCCTGTAGATGCCCCTTTGCGAGCCTGCTTCTCTCTCATGTGTTCTGTACCAAGCGCTTGTACAGTGCAGGGCTAGGGAAGTGGCTCAAAGGGTGAAAGGCTTGCTCTGTAAGCGCGTAGACATGAGCTTAGACCCTCAGGAGCTACATAGTAAAATGTCAGTGACCACAATGTTCTAGGTCAAGATGGGAGGCAGAGATACCAGAGTCCCCAGGAGCTCCTGGGCCAGATACGGTGGTGAACAAGACATCCCATATCAAACAAGGTGAAGGGTGAGGCCTGGCCCCTGTGGTTGTCCTCTGACCCCAACACGTGTGCTATGGGCACTTGCTTGCACACTCACAGATACTTGTGCAAACACACACATAAGCCACACACACACAACTTTTCAAAGAAATGCTGTGTTTGGAAAGGTATCTAAATATGGTTCCACATGCTAGTCCAGGAATGCATATGATTTAATCTTAATCAACAAGCTCCTGTGCTTGTCAGCTAGATAGTAATAACTAGTTTCTCCGCCACCCAGAGAAGCAAGTTGAAATTTACAGAATTTTACAGATTTATTATTTATTTATTTATTTACTCAGCTCATAGTCAAGAAAACAAGGATTTTTTTTTTTTACCCAATTTACTTGCTTCCTTCATATTCTTAAGCAAGTACAAGAATGCTTCCATAATTCAAGCCACACATGCTTTTCTCCTCCATCTCTTTCACACAAAGCAATCGGCCTTTAGACAGTTTTCTTTCAGGTCCCCTCTCATCATGGTCTTGACCCTAGAAATAATGAACAGAAGAAATGCCTGGAACTGCTGAGGATGTGCGAAGAGCTTTATAGTTTACAAAGCACTGTGGCGCTATTTATTTATTTATTTATTTATTTATTTATTTATTTATTTATGTATTTATTTACTTGATGTCCTCATCAACCATATGGGTACTTAGCCTCTGATCTTGTAGCCATACATGGAATCTCAGAAAAGTGCGGTGACCCCTCATCACCTTGAACCCAGGACTCACATGCAGGTCTTATGCAGTCCTAGGAAGCTTTGACAGACAGATAGGCAGAGTGACCCTTCCTATGCTCTGGAGTCAGGCCGTCCCTTACAGAAGAATGGTTTTAAATACACACCCAGGGTCTCAAAGGAAACCAATTACGCTGAAGCAGAAAAATATTTTAATAAAACGTTATGATATAATGTTATATGTGTGTCCCTTTATTAACTCAGCCAGCTCCAGCAGCTGGTCTAATAAGTTTTGCAATTTCAAAGCAGCAATCAGAATGAATGAGATCTTAAGAATGAGCAACAATCACAATTTCATACGAAACTATCTTCCATTTCTGGTATTGAGAAAGACACCGGTTCTGTTAAAACTATTGTGGTTTGGCTCACGTGATAATTGAAGAAAATAACTTAATTTCAGTGAGAGGTTGGCAAAAATAAGATGTTTAGTTCTCCATCTTACAGAACCATTCAATTCTTTCTGTGGAATCGCCAGGACCAAGGACTTAGGGCCTGTCAGAGTTGGAGCTTCAAAATCATCATCAGAGCCAGATCTAACGTGCCCTTCTTCCTTCAGGACCAATGGGGAATTCTGAGGTTGCTGGAAGATGAGAAACATTCAACTTGGGAGGCCAACTTCTGTCTTCACTACTGGGTCCCTGGGTCACTGTGTCTGCTCTAGTCCTATGGTGACACCAGTCTTCCAATTCTCATCCTCACACCACTTTCCTTCCCAGAGCTGAGGATAGACAAAGATGTGGTCCCCCTTCTTTTCAGTCTAAACCTTCACATTTATAACAGATTAAACAAACAGCTCACTTAAATAGACGCAAGTCTGGTATGAGTATTCCAGTTTTGCAGATGGTTTTTTAAAAAAAAAACAAAAACAAAAAAAAGAAAAACAAAAACAAAAAAAAAAAAAAAAACGAAGTGCAGACCAACTGAGGGAATTATCCTATGGTCACAGAGCATTACTGCAGATCTGAGCGCTGGAGAAACAAATTATAAAATCCAATTCACTGTTGAGAATCTGGGCTGGGGGAAGGGCAGAGGAGGTGGGAACACAGAGACCAGGTAAATCAAGCCAGCTGGTGTGCCCCGAGCAAGTGTGTGCTGAGTTCCCGGAGTCAACACTTGACTTCTGTTTCCACACTGAGGAAGAGAGGAAGGTGACCCTGGAGATCTGTCATCTCAAATATCAAGGATGGAGTTACAGATGGCAGAGTGCCCAGACTGCGCAGTAGCTCTTGGCTAGAAGGAGATGTCGGATCTCCTGGCCCTGCAGATAGATTTATAGTAATTTCTTGATGCACCCAGGCAGAGTGACTAGATCATCCCAGAACTCATGTAGGAGAACAAATAGGAGAAATGGCATTTATGCTGGCTCACCCTTGAATAAACCACTTTATTATTTTTCTCAAGTGTTTTTCTCAAGTATCATATGACTGAAAGCCTGTTTTTATTTTCTTTTGGTCATTAGTCTTAGCCTATTAACTGTATAATAAACAAGGATTTAATTAAAAGCCACTGGCATATTTAAAACTCATGACAGAGACCAGAAATAAGCTTATGCCATCGAAAGGATCACAGAGGAGAGTGATCAGGGGAATTGTAAGGAAGTTATTAAACTGAAAATTCATTTGCTCCAGGAGAGAAACCCCAGATACTTGATTTTAACCTGTCAAGGATCCTTAATTTGTTTTTCATCTAGTAAGGGATTTGGAGCTTCTTGAGTGTCTGAGGCAATCTTTCCCTCCCAGTCCTTTTGTTTCTCTCTCTCTGGGCATTTAGCAAAGGAAGTCTAGAGCTAAAAGTAGGAACAGATCATTTGTGTGTGACAGAAATAAAACCCAAAACATCTTTTCCAAGTCTGCTACAAATGTCACTGTGTCACCACTAAAATGTCCTCAGGCTTATACCATGACAGAAATATGCTCATCTCCATGCTTTGGTTATGACACAGGTAATTCCACAATCCCAGAAGAGCAGAGAGCAAGACGAGAGAGCACCATGAGCTTGCCTGGTGGCCTTGGAGGTACTTACACTTAACATGGTGCAGGGAAAGTCCAGGGAAATCCTTCCTCATGGGCTTGAAAATAGAAACAGATGTATGTTCTTTTCCTGGGTCAGAGGCCTAAGAAAAGAAACAAAGGCAAGGAAACCAGAGTTGGTCACAACACGCACTCAGCCATCCAGTTTGCATACACATCCCTGTCAGGTTCATCCACCCTCATCTCCAGCAGACATCACCGATAGGTCTTGTCTGGCTCCAGGCTAGAGCATTTCAGGCAGCAGTCCGTCTTGTAGATCACTGATAGCAAAGGCTGTGGAACTTCCCCACCTTTGCCCACAGCAGGCATCACTAATAGATTGCGGCATTCTTGTTCATTAAAATCAACCTCGGCCCAGAAAAGCATCTTCATACTCTGCCAACTTACCCTGTGGCCATCGAGGCTAAGTCTCAATGATTGAAGGGTATATTCCAAAGATCTGAGCGGGAAAATTCAGGGGACTCCAGGCTTCGGAGCTCAAGAGTAGTGCAAACAAAGTACTTCTCATTTTTTTATTATTAAAGCAAGTAAAACACGAGGTGACGTTTACAGTAAGCTTAAGCAAACACAAGTACACCTGGTGTTATGTCTTATCTTACCATCTTTGGTCACGTGAAAAAGCCAAGAATATTCCTTCTGGGCCTTTTCATTTCCCACAGAGATAATGCAGACAGGCCACGGTATTTCCTTCATGTCCTTGCTTTCAAGCGCATAGTTTGTGCAATTATTTCTAGAAGGCCACCTGATGGGAAGAACATTCTGCTCTGTGCCCCATCCATAATTCACAGGAAGGTCACAGCTTTCTTACCCAGGCCCCCACACCACACAGCCTCTACGGAGCATCAGACTCGGTGTGAGAAAATCCCATGATTATTTCTAGGCTTTTGCTCATCTGCTTGCAGCCTTTGTTTGTGCTGTTTTCCTCCTTCGTGGTATCTCATGTGGTAAATTGTAAATTAATGCCTTGTATCAACAGAATTCACTACGTAAGGGGTGATATTCGCATAATTAGTGCAGTAGTCATAACTCAACAATTCCCTTTCCTATGCAGGAAAACATATCCAAATACAGAATACAAATATTTTAGAGATAACATGCATTGATCAGATTTTGTTACTATAAAAAAATCTGATAAGCAAGTTAAAAGGTTTATTTTGTCTCACTGTTTCTGAGGATTCAGTTCTTGGTCACTTTGGCCCCCATCACTTTGGTCCTGTGGCAAAGGACAACATCGAGGCAGGGTGAGCTTGATAGAACAGAGCTGCTTACTTCATGATAGTGGGAAGCAGAGAAAGAAAAGGGAAAGGGTAAGGATCCCATTACCCCCTTCGAGGACATTCCCCCGGTGAACTGTCTTTCTATCGCCAGGCCTCACTCCTAAAGTTTCCACCACCTCCTGACAGAGACACAGACTGGCAATGAAGCCTTCTGTCTGTGCGCCCTTCGGGGTGGTATTTAATATCCAAGCTGTGACATTATGAGTTTTTAAAAGCAGTCAGCAAATCCCATTATAAAAGTGATAAGGAGGCTTGCTGCACATCTCCGTAGATCTTGGTACAGTGTGCGACACTGTCTTGGACTTTGGAAAACAGCATCGGGCTTCCATAAAAGCCTCCAGCTCCCATCCTGCAGAGCTGAGAATGCTGGCAGGAGTCAGCTTGGCACCGAGACCACATCTAGGCAGGGCACGTCTACCTGCTACCCAAAAGCAAGGTTAACACCCACCTCAGAGGGAAACTGAGGGACCAAAGCTCCCTTTGTCTCCCCCTGGCTCCTTGTAAAGTACCTTAAGTAGCCTTCATGTCATGTCACAAGAGAAGCCAGAGCCTTGGAACTTCTCTGACCCTACATGTTCTCCCTATCTCTGTCTCCATCACCCTTCCACCACCACACGCATCTCCACCCTGTCCCCACACCCTATTGGCTAAGACTGGGCAGGTAGAAACTCTGGTGAAAGCTGAAATCTCAACAAAAAGAAGTTTAAAGCTGGGAATGCCTTAATTACGAAGTGTTTAACCTAAGCTCCTCCCAAGCAAAGATTTGCTGTAAGGCCTGAGGGATCTCAAGTTTATGAGTTCACTGAAGACAGGTCCAGGAAAGGTGGGAATGGTGACTTAGGGATGCCGTCTCAGCATCCAAGAAGGAAGAACAGAAGGATTGCCAGGAGCCAAGGCCAACCTGGGATCCATAGTCAGCTCTAGGCCACCCTCAGTAAGAAAATTGTGTGTGTGTGTGTGTGCTCTTGTGTATTTGGTTTAAACTGTGAGTGTCCAGTGAATGGCTCAATGGTAGAGTAGGAGTTCAATTACAGACACGTCCAGAGTCCCTGGAAGCAGGAGAAGGCTTGAGTAAAAACACCCCCAGTCCTGGTTGTCTGTGCTTCTTTGCAAGGGCTCTCCGTAGCCTCCCAGTGCCTTCTGCAGGTGAGCAGAGGCAATGTTGTGAATAATTCAACACTTCACATTATTCAGCTCATTACAGAGCTGCACCAAAGTCAGGCCTGGGATCACAACATTCCCAGGCAGTGCTCACACAGCAAGGCCAGCTGTGCTCTACCCAAAGCCCACGGAGCTTCCCGGAGGAGGCCCTGGAAGGTGAGAAGGAATATCCATTAGAAATTCAGAAGGAAGATTTTCGCTTTCCCTTTGGGCCACACTGGGCTGCAGTAATTGAAAAACCCCCCATATGTCAACAACTCCCTGGGAAGTGGCAGGGCCTCAGATGCCCAGGGATTTCGAGAGGCTTTCTGCCATCTGGCAGCAAGAGGAATGACTGTTTGCTAGGTCTAGTTGCGGGCACTCTCAGGCATATCACTGGTGATTTATCTCTGGGCTAAGGTGCTGCAAAGTAGAATCAGAGATGCTTATGGTGAAACATTCAGAAGAATGAATCTGAGGTTCAGGCCTGCTCTGTGGATAGCTCAAGTATCCCTGAGTTCACTGGGCTATCCAGGAGCAAGCTGTTTTGAGCTCTAGAGATGAGGGTAGAGTGAGGAGGACAGTAAGTAAGAAACTGAGAAAAAGGACAGGGAAACAAACACACTATCCAGTGGGCTTAGACTGTGAACTTGGAGCACATGAACGCGGCCATCCCACAGGTGCTGAAAGTTATGTTATCTTTTTTACAGGGGAGAAAAAGAAACAGGATAGCAGAAACAAGGACAGACCCTAAAGTACAGTGGGTGAGCTGGAAAGGCCCAAGGTTTGAGCCGGCAAACTCACAGAAGCCCAACCTTCTCTCACTTTTGGATAAGGGACTCATTTATTCATTGTCACTTCAAAAGATCCTTTTATTTATTTATGCATTCATTCATTCATTCATTCATTCATTCATTCCTGTGTGTCTTGGCGAACATGTATCTTGGGGGTAGGGAGGTAACATACCCATGGGAAAGTGAGACATTAGATGTCCTTTGTCACTCTCCACTTTGTTCTCTTGAGACAGAGTCTTTCGATGAACCTCAAGCTGGGCTGCAACCCACAAGTTGCAGGGACCCACCTGTCCTCACACGCACAGTCTTGGGGTGTCCCTGCAGCCATGCCCAGCTTTTATTCACAGGAGCTGGAATGTGAACTCAGGTCCTCAGACTTATGTAACAATTGTTCTTACCCACCGAGCCGTCTCTCCAACTCTCTCAAGACACATCATTTATTAAAATGAAATGCCAGGGAGCTAGTGACCTCGGGTTTCTGCGCGGTGCTTTTTTTCCTGGGGAGCCCAGAGAGGCAGTGCTCAGATGGAGAATAGCTCACTCTCCATCACTGCAGTGGGTTCCGGGCTGTCTGCACTAAGCAAAACAGGCTTCCAGTCCTGAGCTATGTTTACCATCACATCAGCAGACGCTGGTGCTGAGAGCCCATCCCAGCACAGTCTCCGACAGACATTACTTCATTCGTCCTATTATTATTCCAAGAGTTTCTATGACTGACTTTAGAAAAGACAGACTAGAACACTAAAATGATAGTAAACTCCATCTTCCTCCTAGCATAATCTGCTCGCAGTGGATATAAATATTTTTTTCCCCAGATCACCATGGACTTTTCTATTTTCTGACTGTTGTTACTAACCTCTTACTCTTCCTAATGCCACAAAATATTCTAATGAGGTTACACCTGGGCAGAGTGAACGTCAGGGATGGACATGTTAGTTTTAGAATTCCAAAGCCAAGGCGCATGGTTTCCCGTGTCTAAAATGATGAAGCAGCAGGGCTACTGTGGGCAGAATCTAAAAAGCTCCGGCCAGAAGGACCACATTATTCACTTGATAAATCTGATATCCAAATGAAAGGCTCTTGACCCTGGGAGATTCTAGGAACCACAAATGATAGCCATGTCTAATGGATGCCTCCATCATAGGACCCCCTTACTCTGTCCCCTTGATTAGAGGAAAGCATTAGGAGGAAAATACAAGAATATATCATTTTGGAATACTAATGGGTACTTGTCCTTGCTCAAGTACAGACAGCAGAATTTAGCATAACGCTGAACTCTGGAGTTTTAGCCGTAAAAAAAAAAAAAAAAAAAAAAAAAAAAAAAAGTTGAGTAGGCTAACAGGGCAAGGTGATGAGCCAAGATGGGTTTTTCAAAATGGCTGAACAGTGGACAAGACTTTCCAGGGGTGTCTGTAGTATGAGATCTGCAGGACAGCAGACAGTACTGTGGTTGAAACTCATGTTGGAGAAGGGTTGGAAGGCAAAAATATAGCTGGAGCCCAGAGAGCTGAAAAGGGAGGCGCATTAAAACTGGGTAAGAAGAGGAACAGTCGCTGGAGAGAAAAGAAGAATTGGGCTGTTGGTCCAGAAACAGAGGCCACCTGTGATCAAGCCCAGCCCACTCTAGCCTCAGCCTCACCCAGGTTTTCCACCTGCCAGTTTCCCAGCTGTGTGGCGCAGCCTTTATTCATACAGCTCTTTCTGCAAGCTTCCTCTCTTGTGTCCACCTGGGAAATTCCTATATATCCTTGGGTGCCTCACCACTCTGATATTTTCTCTAACCATCTCTTCAACACCCAGTCGTCAAAGATATCTTACATACCTCATCCTTATCACTTACATACGTACATATGTAAATATATACACACGTAT